TTTTTTTTTTTTTTTTTTTTTTTTTTTGTATGCTTCAACTTTGAGTTGAATTCTTTCTATGCCGTGTTTCCTTTAACAATTTTGAATGGCAGCAAATATGTATTCTGAGCTGCGGGAGGAGGCTCGTGATCATGCACGTTTGCGTAATGCATATTTTGAGCAGGTGGGTCTTTGATTCATGCAGTGGTGGAGAAGTTAATGGGAATTTGAATGAGAATGCAGTGTAGTGATTTGGCTACAGCCTACACACTTTACAATTAGCTTGTATACATATGCTTTACCTGCACTCCTAGTCTTCTATGTTCTTTCTAGGAGTTGGTCCATAATTTATGTTGTTTCTTTTGTTTTCTAGTATATAAATTTGAAAAGTAAGTTGGATCTGGGTAATGTGAGTAAATTTAATAGAGGAGCTGTTAGGATGATACCAAATTGAATATGCACAAACTATTCAAGTCAAAGAACATGCTGTGTGACTGGCAAGAACCATCTGTTCTTTAGTTTGTTTTGATGCAACATTACATTTTTTCTTAATCTTTTCATTGTAATGGAATTTGTCCAGATAATGTATCTGTAACTTGAGTTTCAACAGCTTTGGTTTATCCCACTAACCGGGAAAGAGATGTAATCCTAATTTTGTAACTTGAGTTTAATTCTTCATAATATAAAAAACAGGCACGACAAGCCTACCTTGTTGGCAACAAGGCCCTTGCAAAAGAGCTCAGTGTTAAAGGGCAACTGCACAACATGCACATGAAAGCTGCTCATGGAAAAGCTCAAGAATCTATTTACCGCCAGAGGTTTGTTGTTCCCACTTCTATCACTCGTCCTATTCATGTAACCTTTTGTAAAAAGCACAATTTGTATGTTGTCACAATGACACACTGTTAAAACCAGACTACATGAACTCGTCATACTTTTGATTCAGGTTTATCAATTTAAACCAATCGGTTGATGTGAAGGACATAATAAGAATAATTTAAATAAAATATATATAAACATATAAACATTAAATATATATGAAGAAAACCTTTATTTTTAAATTGTGTTAGTGTTCTTTCAACCAGATGAATTGCTCAACTCAAATAGAACTTGACTGGTTATGAGATCTGTTTTAATTAGTCGAGTGGTGCTGTAACCATCAATTTGGCAAAGAGATTGAACCGTAACTAGTCAATTGTCTGCTTCATTTTTAAGTTTCAGCAGCACTAATATTTTTTGGCCCCTGCACAACCTGCATATAATTATAGGATGGGAACTTTCTTTTGACGGGCTGGATCTTTGTTTCTTTTTTATTCATGTTTTTACCTTTTACTTGTTTCTCTTCATACTTGCAATGGGTTTTTCTTTGCTTACTTCTGCCCATTGAGGTATGATGGTTTCACATTGGTTGTGGGAGGTGTAAAACAATTTGAGCGGTTAAAACCATAAGTAATGGCTTGCAGATAAAATGTTGAGTGTACCACTGTCCTGGGACATGGGGGATCAACCTAGTGCTCCCAGCTTCAATTTTTAGTATTAAAATAGTATTTGGCAAGCAATAGTAACGTTATGTAAGGATAAATTAATCTTTGATTTTCAATTTTAAGACATTGGGTGGATCATGTTTATGGAAAAAAGAATGAGTGTACCACTTTCTTCGGCGAAATCTAGTGTCCAAACTTCTACAAGCTACTATTCCATCATTTCACCAATAGAGGATTCCAAACAGTTTCTTTCTGGAATGATATATCGTCGAATGAGTTAATACTCGTTCTCATTGTCCCTTGGATTGTGCTGTAGTCATTGTGAATGTTTGATTATTCAGGAACCCTGTTGCTCCAGAAATGCAGGCTAATGGAAGAGGGCACCAGAGAATGATAGACTTACATGGCCTGCATGTAAGTGAAGCCATTCATGTGCTGAGACATGAACTGAGTGTGCTAAGAACCACGGCTAGAGCTGCCGAGCAGCGTCTACAGGTCTACATCTGTGTCGGCACTGGCCACCATACCCGGGGCTCGCGCACTCCCGCGAGGCTTCCAATAGCTGTACAGCGTTATCTACTCGAAGAAGAAGGCCTTGATTTCACTGAACCACAGCCTGGCCTGATTCGTGTTGTGATATATTGAACCAAGGAGGTAATATACAAGTTTCTGACACAGTAAAATTCCATCATGAACACATAAGACATTGTAGTCATTCTTGTATCTGTACATGGGAAGTAATGGCAATGGCCAAAAAAAAAAAGAAGGAAAAAGATGTTTTGAGAGGGTTGAGAAAAAAAAAAAAAAAAAAATGTTTTGAGAGGGTTGAAAAAAAAAAAAAAAAAAATGTTTTGAGAGGGTTGAAAAAAAAAAAAAAAAAAATGTTTTGAGAGGGTTGAAAAAAAAAAAAAAAAAAATGTTTTGAGAGGGTTGAAAAAAAAAAAAAAAAAAATGTTTTGAGAGGGTTGAAAAAAAAAAAAAAAAAAAGAATGGAGAAGGTTAGAAGTAAAGAGAAGGGTTGTAGCAGAATTGTACCATTAAGATTTCACTGAGGCATCTGATCACATTAGACAGTCAGCAGGGACTCCACTTCAGCATTTTCTTTTGTTAATTTTGTATCCTAATTTTCATTTCTTTGTTAAATTCCTGTTTTTTTTCCCCCATCTTTGATTCAGATGTAACTGATAGAACTCAATTACATGATAGAACAATTCACTTTTCCAATTATATTCAATGCCAATTTACTGCACGGATCATATGTTCAAGTAGGGCTGGTTCTCAAAGCATACAATTACTATAAGATTTGGAGAATTGGTTTGACACAATATGGGTAAAATTTTAGTAAGTTTTCAATTCTCAAGCGGCTATTGCCCCCTTACTCTATAAATTTTACTCGTGTACATAATCGTATAATCATTTATTAAAGGATAATTATTTAATTTCATCCAAGTTTGTGGTTGTAATCGGGGAAAATAAACGATAAATTACTACCGAAGTATAGGGCTGTTCATGGATTTCATAATGTGTTTACAGTTTCAAGTATCTTGTTGAATAGCCACTTGGTCTAGTGGTGGATTTGAAGTATTATGTATAGAATCTTTAAGTAGTATTAGGCATCGAGTTTTAAGTTTGAATTATGTCGTTATTGAAATTACTACAAACAAGTGGGGTGGGAGTTAGATTATATTAGTGCGGTGTTTATGATTGAACGAACTAATTGAGAGAAGAATTTTGTTCATAAACATAGAAATATAATCAATAATATCAAAGATTTGGTGGAAAGAGATTGAAGAATTACATTTATTGAAATATCAAGAGAGATTAATCAAATAACTCATGTCCTTGCAAGTTGGGGGAGTTAGGTTGAGGGCTGAACATGTAGTATGGAAGAGTCTTCTAGATTTTGTGTTTCAAGTGTACAGGGAGGATCTTTGTTCCCTACATTAATTTCATTTCTTTCTTGTTTTTTGTCCTTTATTTTTTCCACAACACCAAAAAAACTTACATTTTAAGAATAAATTAAATTTCCAATATTGATGTACTTTTTTTTAAAGTATTTTTTTTTTCCCACAACACAAAAAAACCGTGGATTTTTACTTAACTTAGAACATGTTAGGTTTGAATTTTGGTGTTATTTAAGTTTGACTCGACTCATGTTTTTGTTCAGGTAATGATTGTTTATTTTAAAATTCTGACTCATTCGGTGGATTTGATATTTTTTAATTATTTATCAATTTTTTTTAGAAAGTTCAGAAAATGCTTTAGTTTGTGTGATCCAATTGACTGAACCGACTTGAGTTGGTTTCTATTCGGGTTTTTCAGAAAAGTATACATTCAGCGTAATGAAAATATTTTGACTGGATTGAGCAGAGTTTAGTTAAATTTGACATAAACTTACCGTTTGAGTTGTAATTCATAAACAACATTGCCAAAGAATAAGCAATAGCTATGCTTGCAAAAAATTAAATTCATGCAAAAACACAGGATTTTATGTTTGCATTTTATTATATTTCTTTATAAAATATAAATTTTAACGATCCAACTGTTCAATTTAAAGTTCTTAATACTTAGATCAAATATGTAAAATTTTAGAAAATTTAAAAATCATTTGATACTTCATTTCATTAATTCCAATTGACGGATAATCATAAAATTATTTTATACATTGATTCAAATTAATGAAACGAAATATCAAATAATTTTCAAATTTTTTAAAAATTTGCAAATTTGATCTATGTATTAAGAACTTTAAATTGAATAGTTGAATCGTTAAAATTTGATGTAAAACATGAGTTATTGAATGATAGACTTACTCTTGGAGTAAAATGACCTCTCCTCTATATACATACATACATACATATACATATATATATTCTACTGAGCCTTAATGCTAGAATAAGTCTATTTAGACTTATTCCATTCAATAACTTATGTTTTACATCAAATTTTAATAATTTAACCATTGAATGAAAACTTTTTAATACATAGATTAAGTTTACAAAGTTTTAAAAAATTTAAAAATTATTTAATACTCCATTTTATTAATTCAAATCAACTTACTTTAAGGGAGCGTTTGGTAGGAAAAAGTTCTTTCATACTTAGGAATCATGATTCTTGAGAATTACAAATTTTGGGAATCATGATTCTTGTGAATAACTAAAATTTGTTTGGTTATTCATAAATATTTATGAAAATATTCATATATAGGATTTTCAAAAATTAAAGATTTTCATGTTTGGTTACAATAGTATGTTCATTGGTATGAAAAAGAGAAAAGGGGGGAGTGAGAGTGAGAAAGCCACAGAGAGAGGAAAAAAGAGAAATAGAAGGAGAGAGAGAGGGCAAGGGAGAGAGAGAGAGAGGGAGAGAGGACAAGGGAGTGTGAGTGAGAGAGATAGACAGGAAAGAGAAATATAAGGAAAGAGATTTTTTGTTTTTGTTTTAGAACATGATTCTGTGATCTTTTTATATACATAAAACTTTTTCCTTAACTTGAAAAAGTTAAATTTTCATCCCATCACGAGAATGTTTTTGTGAGAAAGTGAGATAAAAATGGTTCCTGAAAAATTACATTCTTGTAATTTTTTTAAATAACTACCAAACATGAAAAATTAAGATTATCAATTTAAGATTTTTAGGAAAGTCATTCAGCGTACTAAACGTCTTCTAAGAGTAAGTCTTACTAGACTTATTCCATCACTCAATAACTCATATTTTACATTAAATTTTAATGATCTAATTGTTAAGTTATATATAAGAGGAGGGATTCACTTACTCTAAGAGTAAGTCTTAGTAGACTTACTCCACCACTTAATAACTCATGTTCTACATCAAATTTTAATGATCCAGTCATTAAGTTAAAAGTTTTAAATGCATAGATCAAATCTAAAATTATTTGATACTCCATTTTATTAATTTAAATTGACGAATAATCATAAAAACATTTCACATGTTGATTTGAAATTAATGAAATAATAGTTTTCAAATTTTTAAAAATTTATAAATTTGATCTATATATTAAATTTTTTTTAGTTAAATAGTTGGATCGTTGAAATTTGGTGTAAAACATAAGTTATTGGGTGAATAAGTTTAAGTAGACTTACTATTGAAGAAAGTAGATCTCTCCTATTTATTTCTTTCTCTCTCTCTCTCTCTCTCTATATATATATATATATATATATATAATTGCTTAAATATATTAAACTTGTTTGTACGATGCAAAACAATGAGACAATAATTAAGAAAAAGTTTGACTAACTCTTTACCTTTGATAATAACTTTAGATTATTCATCTACAACAACCTAGGTCATGATAGTCCTTCCGCTAATTGGAAGTTGATCTTTGGGTTCACCTTGGATTCCATCTGGCATTCCAAAGATGCTTTAATATTTGAAGACATTACTACTCCTCCTAAAATTATTGTGGCCAAAGTGGCTAGTTCCTAAAGTTGAATTGTGATGCCTCTATCAATGCCTTGACAGGTCAAGCTAGTGCTAGTGGCCTCTTTCATGACCATTATGGAGCCTTTGTGATGCCCTTCTCCACCACCAAGCTTGGGCTTGCTCCATTTTGCAGGCTGAGTCGTGGCCATTTAGCATGGTCTCACCATAGCTTGGAATAGAGAATTTTGTAACCTAATAGTCAAATCTAACTCTTTTAGTGTAGTTAGATTTCACAAACATGGTTACTCAATCCTCCATAGTTATGCTTCCCTGGTATCAAATATACATCTCATTTATTCTACTGGTGGTTATATTTGTCAGATTCATGTTTTAAGAGAAGTAAATCAATCTATTGATTATTTAGCTAAATTTAGTCTTACTGTGGGACAACATTATAGGATTTTTGAGCTTCCCCTAGACTAAAATGTATTGCTTCATCATTTTTGATTCGTGAATATGTCATTTTCTCAAAAAAAAAAAAAAAGGAAAAGCGAAATTGTCTCATGATATATAATGTTTTTAAATAAGAAAAAAATTTTGGCACCAAAATTTAAAATTAAAAATTGTTATAAAAATAGATGAAAGCTTGATATCTAAGTCGATATAATGTTTCAACCCTGCTGACTCCAACTATAATACACACACACACACACACACACACACACACACAAAATCGGGGGCGAGGGCCAGGACGGGGATGTTAATATCCACCCCGCCCCGCTTAATAATATAATTAAAAAATTATTTATATATATAAACCAAAATTAGAAATATTTGTATGTAAAAATTT